TAAAATGCTCCCCAAAATCTTGGGAGAGAGGGAGTCTGGATGGGAGTTTGGGGTAGATGCCATGATAGTATTGTTGGTCTCTGAGTATAGTTCTCAACTCTTTTCTTTGTCCTTTCCCTGACATAATGGATCCCTCTTCATTCATAGTTGGAGGAGCCTTCTTACAGGTAACTATCACCCTTAGAAAACCTTCTGCTTCCTCTCCAAGTTAACTTCTGAGTTCCTGTGTGTGTGCATGTATGTTAGGGTGTTTTTGTATGTTTGATTCTATGTATATGTGTGTGAGTGCTTGTTGATTTCTTTTTCTCTCTTAATAAAACTACCATTCTTTTGGACAAATGCTGTCTCTGCAGGAACTGTTCCCTCTAGCCCCCTGCATACAATGGGTTGGATCCTATTTACTATTTTTGAGCTAATTATAAATTCCCCAAAGTCAAGTTCTTATTACAGGAGTCTCTGAAGGACTGTTAGTATGATTCTAGAGGTCAAAAGAAGGGATTGGAAAAACAGATTAACTGCCACCTCAGTACCACCTAAGTTCTTCTTACTTTGAGTGATTTCAGAATAAAGATATTGTTCCCTTGTCAATGGCACGTAGTGGGGGGGGGGAGAGAGTTTAAGACCTTTGTGTACACCTTGGTACCCTTTTGGTGAAGGGTAGGGATCTGGAATGGCCTCTACAATTCCTGGGACCTAGGAGGTGGGGAAGGAATCTACCCTTGGGGCTGACATGGGGTTTTGCGCTTACTTAAAAGGTCCTGTGACTTGAAGGTTTATCTTCAGTAAGTGGCCAGCTGGGGAACAATCCAACAATTGGATTGCTCTTGGAGTTCAGGAATTTTGCCCAAGGGGAGGCTGAGGTGTCTGGGGTAAATACCCAGCCTCAGCTGGGCCTGTATCAAGTGATCTCAAATGAAATTAAGACAGCCCAGTGTGGACAGAAGCCCATGATGCCTGTAGCCAGTGAAACTCTATGGAAGGTGAAAAAAAAACATGCTTCAATAACATGGAAGAATTCCTTCCTGGCTCCTGGTAGCTACCAGAATTTGGGGACCTGTGAGACTATGGAGGTTATCGCACCAAGAAATACTCCCAATATAGATGCGGGATTGAAAACTCAAAACCGTGTGTTAACACACTCACTGATGGCTGGGCAAGTACGACCCAGATGCAGCCCAGACCCCAGCTGCCACATCCCTTCCAGCTGTCACTGTAGTGTATTAGAGGGTGGGACAAGTAAACCACCAGATTTGTGGTCAATTTAAGTGAATTTAGCTGGTTTTCAAGTGAAAATTATATGAAAATCAGCATGAATTTAAAAAATAAATTTCCAAATGATATGTGTTATAAATTAAATGTCCTTTGCCCATTGAACTTGAATTCTGAAAACTGCTGATTTATAGCTTTTGCAGAAAAGATAATCACTATATATCCTTGGAACAACAGTAATTCGGAGTGCCTAACATCGTGAATAAGTACCATGGGCCCTTGGCATCCACTGGGGGTTTGTTCCAGTACCCCCTAAGGATACCAAAATCAGTGGATATTCAAGTCCCATTAAATACAATGGTATAGTAAAATGATGTACCTTATATAAAATGGCAAAATCAAGGGTTTTTTTTTTTTGGGAAACATTTTAAAAATATTTTCAAGATGCGGATGGTTGAATCTGTGGATATGGAGGGTTGACTGTATATGCAAGTCTAAGAGTTCTGGATTTCCACCCCAAGTATGATAGTATCATAATATATATACATCTATCCTCCTGCTTCCTCTCCAACTGGCCCACTCTGATGTTCAGTTTTCAATCTTCTGTTTGTATCACCAAAAAACAAATTTGTATCACCAAAAAACAAAAGAAAAAGAAAGAAACAAGGCAATGGGATTTCACAGCTAGCAAAAGAAATGAGCTGTACTTTCCAGGTGGGTCTCATGTCAGTTTAGATGAATCTGGAAAGCTAGCCTTGAAGCATTTAGCCAAGCCACACAGATGCTTCACAAGAGCTTAATATATAACATTAACATTAATTTTCCATCAGCGTTTCAGTGCCAGCAAGTAAGAAACTACAAACTTATTGCAGCTCTTGCCAGAAAGAATAGGAAAAGAAAGAGGAAAAGAAATTTAAGAAAAGTGGGCAGACAGCCATCCCATGGTAATCTGGCTGCCAGATCACATTGCTTGGTATTTCCCACTTTCCAGCATTCCAAGTGGACCCAGGGCAGCTTTTCCAGGGTTGGTTTTCCCATGAAACTTCTAATGACTTTGTTACATCTGCTTATTTGTGGTATACAGGTTCAGAAAGTGGAGACTAAACAGATAGACAATCAGTCATTTCCACAGACCAGTACCAAATATGGGAGACAAGAGTCACCTTCTTCTACTGGGAAATCTTTTAGAAATCCATTGCCAGCTTCAGATTGGGTTCCCCTCTTCATCTTTGTCCAAGTTTCTCAGATTGAAACTGTTGGTAAATTCAGGAAAGGAAAGAAGTCCTATTCTTTCTGGCAAGAGTTGCAATAAGCTGTAAAGCATGGATCAGTCTGTTTTCAAAAGTAGGAATGTCTGAGGCTGCCTTGGTTACAGGCAAATTTCTTATTAGCTATGGTGGGGATATGCTTTTAGTGTTCTGGGTCCCAGCCTAAGGTGAATAAGAGAGTCCCACTGCACCATTGTGTTTGCAAGGACATGCACACACAACCACTCTCACTCACTCTATTCATGGACATTGTCCCTGCTAACTGGAGGGTTATAGGAACTGTATGCCGAAACATAGGGTAAATTCTCTAAGCTCTACCCATTGC